AAGCCCACATTGTGAGGAGCCCTCTGAGGCCCTGAACACCTCCTCAGCCCTGAGCTCCCATCCCCACATCCTCAGCCCTGAGCTCCGGTCCGCACGTCCTCAGCCCTGAGCTCCCGTCCCCATGCCCTCAGCCCTGAGCTCCCATCCCTGCGCCCTCAGTCATGAGCTCTGGTTCCCACGTCCTCAGCCCTGAGCTCCCGTCCCCATGCCCTCAGCCCTGAGCTGCCATCCCTGCGCCCTGAGTCATGAGCTCTGGTTCCCACGTCCTCAGCCCTGAGCTCCCATCCCTGCACCCTCAGCCCTGAGCTCCGGTCCGCACGTCCTCAGCCCTGAGCTCCTGTCCCTGCACCCTCAGCCCTGAGCTCCAGTCGCCACGTCCTCAGCCCTGAGCTCCTGTCCCCGCGCCCTCAGTCATGAGCTCTGGTCCCCACGTCCTCAGCCCTGAGCTCCCGTCCCCATGCCCTCAGCCCTGAGCTCCCATCCCTGCGCCCTCAGTCATGAGCTCTGGTTCCCACGTCCTCAGCCCTGAGCTCCTGTTCCCTGCACCCTCAGCCCTGAGTCCGTCCGACGTCCTCAGCCCTGAGCCTCCTGCGTCCCCATACCCTCAGCCCTGAGCACCGGTTCCACACGTCCTCAGCCCTGAGGCCCAGTCCATACCCTAAAGCCCTTGAACTCAGTCGTTCACATCCCTCAGCCCTGAGCTCCGGTCCCGCGCCCTCAGCCCTGACTCCTATCTCCTGTGCCCTCAGCCCCTGAGCTCTGGTCCCCACATCCTCAGCCCTGAGCTCCCATCCCTGTGCCCTCAGCCCTGAGCTCTGGTCCCCGCACCCTCAGCCCTGAGCTCCCATCCCCGCACCCTCACCCCTGAGCTCCGGTCCCCACATCCTCACCCCTGAGCTCCGGTCCCCGTGTCCTCGGCCTGTGGTCTGAGGCCCTGTCTCCTCATCCTTAGACTGTTGCTTTTCCTTCCACACCTGCAGCCTCCAGGACATTCTTGCTTCCTGAAGGCCCGTCCTGGCTACTGCTCTCCCTCCTCCCTAACCCCTCCTGCTCCTCATCCAGGGTATTGTCCTCAGTGCTCTGTGCCACCTTCTTAGGGAATTGTTCTGCGTTCAGATTCTTTGTTCTTTGCTCTCCCTCCAGTGCACGGTGTAATAAGGGTCCCACTCTCAAGAAACCTCCCATGCGCCAGTCAGTCAGTCTCATCTCATTACCCATCAGACGGCGCCGGGCCCTGGGGGAGCTGCGGGAACTGAGCGCGTGGGTGACCTCTTGATGAGTGTCCTGAAAGCCAAGCCTTGTATGCCGTCTTTGAGGTCCCCTGTGAAACAGCGCAGCTTCACCCAGCACACCTGGTGCCCCTGCTCACAATGACCGCGGTCCCACCGGGCTCCCTGTTCTCCCTGCCCTCACAGGGCCTCTCAGGCTCTCAGTGTGCAGGAAGAAGATGGGATTGAGAAATCACAAGCAATCCCAGACCTCAAAATCATCAAGTGAAACGAGTGTTGAAACACAGGCTTTTTTTGTAAACCACTGAGAAACCTGTCAGAGCAAATGGGGACAATGTTGGCAGATTCCTTACTTGTTTCTCCGCAGCTTTATGAAGCTAACTGAAAACAATCGCCTGTATTTACAGCATACGGCGTGATTTGATTCTTGTATGCGTTGTGAAATGATTGCCACACGGGACCTCATTCATGCCCCCGTGCCCTCACGGGGCTCTCATTGTGTCTGTGGTGAGGTCCGTGAGTATCAGGGCCACCAAGCTGGGCATCAGGCCCTAGAACTTATTCCTCTCCCAACGGCACCCTCACCTGTGGACAGCACGTTCCTGTTCCTGACGCGCGGCCACCCACTGCTCCACGCTCGTCCCTGCGGGTCTGGCTTTCTGAAACTGAGTTCCTTACGTGCCACGCCGCCCACCGGTTCCCGCACTGCCGATGGCCGGCCCTCCCTGACACTGCACTGCCTGCACCCTGGCTGGACCTGGCTCCCTTTCCCTGTACCAGGTCGAAACCTCTTCTGAAGACAAGCTGCCTTCGGTTTAGAGATAAACAATGGATCCATGTTTTCTTCACTTGGCTCTTACTGCCATACTTTGAACTGCTCTTATAAAGAAAGTTAAGGGATGATCACGTAAAACAAACCCCCCGCCCCCGCCACCTAATCTAAAGGCTCTGATGTTCCACAGTGAGGCACAGCAGGGGCTCCGGAGGCTGAAAACTCACTATATTGTGTGTGTGTGTCTGCATCTCAGACCTGCTGCATGGGGACCGGTGTTGTCTGATACGGCTGACCCCTGGAAGCAAGCGGACACTGAGTGCCCACCGATCTGTCCCCCATAGTTCAGGCAGCCGGAGAGGCCGCCTCGAGTGAGTGTGGGGCATCACGCAGTGTTGTGAGGGTGTTTAAATACAAGGGCTTGGGGGATTGCAGGTGTCAGGCTTCCTTGCGCAGCTCAGTTTCCTTCTGGAAACAGTCAGATGTGGTGCTGAGATCCATCCTCCATGCACTGCAGCTCCTCTCTCTGCCAGGAACTCGGCTTGTCCCACCGTCCCTCAAATCTGCCCTTCAGCCTGTTCCCCGCAGGGACAGATGAATTGCGCATCCAGAGAGACCCCTCGATTTGGGGCTTTGGGATTGTGGGACGTTCTTTCACAGTCTGCAAAGGAACGCAGCTCAGTCAGTGCCTTCTTCTGAGAAACTGCGCCCTTCCTAGTCTAACTCCAGACCCCCACCTCCTCTCCTGAGCCTTTTTATGCCAGTTCCCACGTCCCTCTCTCCCCTCTTGCTCTCATCTCCAGCCTTTGCTCTGCTCACATTCATCCCTCTTCTGGCTCCCTTGCCCAAGCAGCTCCATTGCCCAAAACCAAGGAGTTGTCCTGGCCACCCTCTCTTCCCTCTCCATATGCAATCTGTCCCTGGGCCTGGAGCTGCTTCCTTTTTGCTGTCACAGAAACCTGTCCTTTCTCCCATGCCTTAGCCAGACGTGCAGCCGGCCTCACCCTTTCAACCTCTGGCCCGCCTGCCTGCCGCAGGGCATGTGTCTAGAACATGCACCTGCTTGTCTTCAGCCCAGAGTGCCCTTCCCACAGCCCCACCTCGTCTCCGGCACCCTGCGTCTCTGCTCTCTGGCCTTCCACGCTGTAGCCCTGCTGACTCCTCACAGCTCCCGGAGAGCACTGAAGTCAGCCTTACACCCCGTTCCACTTTGCCCCACTACCTGGACGCCCCTTACATTTGCCCCGTCCTTTTAGTGAATGTGCAGTGAGTAATGCCTGTGCCACATGGATGAGTCAGAAGTGGTCCCTACCCCCCTGGGAACTGCAGACTGCAGGAAAGATGGATACATGAATGGCAACCACAGGAAAGCCAGAGGACGGCGGGGGGCTGGAGGAGGGCACATTGCACTATCAGGAAGATCAGCTGACCCTTCCTGGAAAAGGTGGCATGCACAGGAGGCCCACAGAGCCTCTCGCAGTGGCCGGAGGCCGAGGAAGGAAGGGAGGCAGTGGGCTGGAGGCGAGTGGGCACGAGGGACGCGGAGCCAGCAGTGCGGTGGGGAGCAGGGTGGCAGGGGGAGAGAGAGGGAGGCTGCAGGGGCGACATGGTCAATTGATGGAAGGGCTCTGCAGCAGAGGCAGGATGGCGGAAGAGCACTTGGGGGACGTTCAGCAGGGGAGTGACCAGGTCCACTGGCCCGTGTGAAAGCGCACCCTCACTGCTACATGAAGAAGATTGCAGAGAGTTGACGCTGGAGGTGGGGGCTTCCCGGGGGCCATGCTGCCATCCAGGCAGGAGAGGCCAGGTGGGACCAAAGCAGGAAAGGCAGGAGGTTGAGGCTGGAGAGAAGCAGCACCGTCCAGAGGCGTTTCTCATGAGCAGTGCGCGGGCAGTGCTTGGCGGACGGAAGTGGGAGTTTGGGGTGTGACTGGACAGCTGGTCAGAGAGAGGTTCCAGTAGCCAAGAGTGGGTCCTAGAGAAGGGAGAGGCTTGGAAGAAGCTCTCTGCGTTCGGCATTGGGCCTGCTGTGCTGGCCTGTGAGGTCTGACAGGAAAAGAGGTCAGGGAGCATCTAGGGAGTCCCACAGGAGGGAGGATGCCACAGTTCTTGGGGCCCCATAGTGGGGCAGGTCATGCAGGACCCGTGGAATCCTGCAAGAAGGGAGGTCATGGTGTCCCTGAGATCCTGCAGAAGGGGAGGCCATGGCATCCCTGTGATTCAGCAGGAGGGGAGCTCATGGCACGTCAGTGGGATCCCACAGGAAGGGAGGTCACAGAGCGTCCATGGTATCCCAGGAGGGAGGCCGTGGCATCCCTGGGATTCAGCAGGAGAGGAGGTCATGGCACGTCAATGGAATCCCATAAGAAGGGAGGTCACGGAGCGTCCATAGTATTCCAGGAGGGAGGCCATGACATCCCTAGGATTCAGCAGGAAGGGAGGTCCTGGAGTGTTCCCAGGATCCGGCAGGAGGGAGGTCATGGCACATCGGTGGGACCCTGCAGGAGGGGAGGCCGTGGCGTGTCAGTGGGCTCGGGCAGTGAGCATTGTGGACGTCGATGTCTTCCGCTGGGTGGGTGGTGGCTGTTTCTCTCAGCAGTTGTGGCTATGAGGTCAGCATTGGCCTCTCCCCTTCACACTCAAGCTCCCCTCTGCAGACTCGGTTGACACCTGCGGCTTCTTTTCTGTTTCTTGGTGCCTGACGCAGAAGAGGTGCTTAGTAAACCCCAAATGTTAGTCAGCCTCCTTCCCTGGGCCAGGTCACCTTGACCCCGGGCTGGGGTCCTGATGGGCATTATTTTCTCAGCACCGTGGATAGCACCCAAGTGCCTGTTGTGCGGGAAGATGAAGGCGCCTGCTGGCCTGTGGCAGGGCGATAAGATGCCTTGAGTCCCTGATTGTCTGCCCCAGAGGGGGGTGGTTGGCAGCATCCCTCCTCCTGTCTGATGAGCTCAGAGGCCCCGGCTCTCTGTGCTTCATGTATTTCCTCTGCCTTGCAGATCATCCCAAAACCAAGCGAGCCGGCCCGGCAGCCAGAGAGTCACCCAGAGGAGACGGAGGAGGAGCTCCGTGAGCACCAGGCTCTGCTGGACGAGCCCTACCTGGACCGGCTGCCGGCACAGAAGGAGGCGCACGCACCAGCTGGCGTGCAGGTGAAGCAGGAGCCCATTGAGAGCGATGACGAAGAGGCAGAGCCCCCTCGGGAGGGGGAGCCGGGCCAGCGCCAGCCCAGTGAGCAGGAGCTGCTCTTCAGACAGGTGACTACAGGCAGGGAGGGCACCAGCAGGCTGGCACGCACAGCCACCCTCGGTCCCCGGGCGGCATCTTCTGTGTGGTGATCACGGGAGCTGCAGGGCATCCTTGCGCTGTCACTGTCCAGTGTCTCACCCGTCTTGTCCTGGCCAGTGAGGGAGGTTGATGTGGCTTCTGTTTTGTCCCAGCTGTTCCTAGGGATTCGAGATGTTTGCCCACTGCGGGTGGTTACGTAACTGCTTTCCAGCCATGCGCAGGCCCCAGAGAATGGGTTTCCTTCCTGTTTGTAGGCTGTAAATGATCACAGCATCCACGTGTTAGTGAGATACAGCATGCTTTTTAAAGAAGTGAAGGAAATAGAGGTATTAATTGATCAAAAAGACAGGCAGGGTCAGAAGTCAAGACCTTTTGTGGCCCAGTGGTGCTAATGAGCAGCCCTGCAGATCCAGACAAGACGGGTACGATTGTGGCACCCAGAGCCAGTAAGGCTTCAGGGCACTGACACCCAGTAACCAAATGCACAGGAGCCTGATGAAGAAGGCCAGTGAATGATTGGTTAATTTCCAGTGAAACATAAAACTTCTGAGTCAACAGAAATACCTAAGGCATTTGGGCAGCCAGCTGGAGCCCCGTATCTGCAGCCAGAATGTCCTCAGAAAGGTGGCTTCCTCCCTATAGGCAGGAAGCGAGCCTGAGGAACCACAGCTGTAGGATTTGATTTTGTCCTCCAGCAGCAGAGCTGCTGCCTTGGCTGCAGGAGCCACTGGATCATTCCCTCCCTTGTCTCTGGACTCCATGCTGGCCGTGCCACTGAGCACCTCCCCAGCTTCCTGACTGCCAGCTGTGTGGCCAGAGCTGCATTTCTACGCCCAGCAGCACCCTGGAAGCCAGGAGCAGGACGCCCTGCAGTAAACTGTTCCCTTTAATTCTCAGCTGCAGATCTTGGCACCGAATGAATCAGTGTGGGGCCTTGTACCTGGAGCACGTGGACCCAAGCCTGCCGCACGGGGGATCAGGTCTCAGTGGTCTCCAGAGGCTTCTGGGCCAGGAGCCCTTCTCTACCAAGCTTCCCCCTGCGGCTGGCATTGGGTGCTGTTTCTCCTTTTTGTTCAGAGGGCGGCCTCTCTCTAATTTCTGGGCCGTCTTAATTAGCACCCCGGGCACTAAACACTACACAGCCCAGCAGCCTGGCAAAGACAGAGAGAGAAAGCCCCGGGCCTCTCTGGCGCACACACGGTGCTTCGTGGCGAACACTCCTCCACAGGTCCCGTCTGACAGGCCCGGGGTGGGGGCCTCTTCCTGTGGTCGGGCCTTGAAAGTCGATGAAGGTCTGAAATTCAGTGTGCTATTATTATGCGGATAAGAAGTGGGAAACTATTTACATTAATAATTTTTAGGACTAGTTTCTCATAGATCGGCGTTTACTTTGAAAAAAGAGGCTTGTTATATTCCAAGTGTGAGACGATGATTAGAAACACTTAATTTCTGTTCTTTCTGGAGAGTAATGGGCAGAACTCCTTATCAGGGAAACTTGGTAGTACACGGAGCAATTTGCCGAGGTAAACCTAAGGCGGGGCACCTTCCAGCCGGCGTCCGGGAGGATTGCTTATTAACCGCTTAACCACGTGGGGCCCACGGCAATCCCAGCTGAATTTGGTGAGCCACAGACTGGGGGCCTGTGGGTGCTGGCTCCTACTCCAGCTCCTGCTCCAGCTCCTCCGCCTGTCTCGGGGCTCCCCTCTTCTCTGCTCCCTCCTGGCTCTGATTCCTATTTTTTTCTTTTTTTGAGACGTAGTCTCACTCTGTTGCCCAGGCTAGAGTGCAGTGGTGCCATCTCGGCTCACTGCAGCCTCCACCTTCTGGGTTCAAGTGATTCTTCCCCCTCAGCCTCCCGAGTAGCTGGGACTACAGGCACCTGCCATCATGCCTGGCTAATTTTTTATTTATTTATTTATTTTTTGGTAAAGACAAGGTTTCACCATTTTGGCCAGGCTGGTCTCGAACTCCTTACTTCAGGTGATCTACCCGCCTCGGCCTCCCAAAGTGCTGGGATTACAGGCGTGAGCCACCCGGCCTGATTCCTAAAGACAGGACAGATCAGAGCCTGGCCAGGCAGCTCTGGCTTCCCCCAGTGCTGGCAGCACAGGGCTGGACTCCGCCTCTCATACAGGAGCTGAGATGTAGGTACCTGGTTTTCCACGTTCACAGGATTTGTTCATCAAAACTAAGACAGGATTGGCGCAGAGCTCCCAGCGAGGAGGCGCCCGGCTTTCTTTGTGCCTCGGCCTGGGTGGCAGGTCGCTGTGCTCTCCCTCAGCTGCTGTCTGGGGAGAGGCTGGGCAGCTGTGGCCTCATCTCTGCCCTGCTTCCTCCACTCCCCTCTGCCTCGTATGAGGGTGTGCACCTCAGCCTGTTCCCAGAATCCCTTGGGGTGTCCCAGGCCCGTGACTAAGTGGCCTCCCTACACAGAGCCCAGCCCAGCCCCATCTCATCAGAGAGGCACATCCCCACCAGCAGGCCTGCTCCAGGCTCCAAGGGTCCTGGGTGCCTGGAAGCTGATGGGCTGTTTCTGCTTTTAGCCCGCATGAGGATGTGTGGAATGTGAGACCAGGGAGGGGAGCGGCTGCAAATGAAGCCGAGCTAGCACTTCCAAGTCTGAGAATCAAGGGTGCTTTCTCACCCAAGTTCAGTGTGCAGATTCAGTGCTGTTGGTCAAAACTAAGACCCACAAACCCAACAAGGGGGCGAGGCTTCATGCCCACTCGCTGCACATGTGTGGTGTGGCAGAATGGGTGCTCTGGTCCCCACATCTGCATGGCGTTCGCGTATCTCCCAGTGCAACCAGTGAGGGCCAGGCTGCCGCCCCAGCAAGAGCCTCTCTCCACACCTGCCAGGCCCCACTCCCCTGCACCTGGTCCAGGCTGCTCCTGGCTCAGTACCTCCTCAGAGAAGCCCTCGTTGATACCCCATACTGTCCAGGCCTCCCTGGGACCCTGTGACTCAGCCTGTGTTATCCTGTTGATGAAGCCCATGGCAGGATCCCATGTGGACAACCTGCTTTCCCTAGAAAGAGCCACATCCTGGGAGACAGAGCCCGTGCTGGCCTCATTCTCGGCTCTGGGCCCACTCAGGCTTCAGGGCACTCACAGGGAAGGCCTCTCCACGCAGCTGGCCTCCCAGCATCCTTGTGGCCCTTGTATGGCCTGTGCATGGACGGGAGACTTGCAAGAGAGGGCAGCCCCTAGCCCTGCAGCCCAGCGGTGGGAGGTGCCTGCAGCCGCCAACATGGCCGTTTCTTCCCCGCAGCAAGCCCTCCTGCTGGAGCAGCAGCGGATCCACCAGCTGAGGAACTACCAGGCGTCCATGGAGGCTGCCGGCATCCCCGTGTCCTTCGGCAGCCACAGGCCTCTGTCCCGGGCGCAGTCCTCACCGGCATCTGCCACCTTTCCCGTGTCTGTGCAGGAGCCCCCCACCAAGCCGAGGTTCACGACAGGTAACAGATGGCCTTTGTGCAGCCTGAGGATGTGACGCGGGCCACAGTGGGCACAGACCGGGGCGGGGGGTACTCCGGGCCCAGCTCTGCAGAGGCTGAGGGGCTGGGCGGGCACGAGGGCAGGAACCACACAGGCCTCTCATGGAGGCCCTCTTCCCGCCCCACGCCCTACACCCTCAGTTCTGTTATTCTGGGGGCCTGTCATGGGCTCACTTGCCCACCTTTCCTGTCCCAGAGACCCATGGTCTCCTCCAAGAACAGTCCACAGCCCATGCCCGTGGGGCCATGAGAGCCTACAGCTTCTGGTCCGGCTTAGGAATCACGAGCCCACACTTCTCCACTTACTCCCTCACACTTCGCCCACATCCACAACGTTGACTCTGAGGCTCCAGTGGCAGGACTGTGAATGGCTGGTGGGGGGCCATGATTACACGAGAGCAGAGCCCGGGACCTCTGGGACATGCTGCGGGAGCCACACATCTTCTGTCTGTGCCACCCCTCGTACCATCCTCACCCCGGGGAGGCGATCTGCCGGCAGGGGTCCTTGGTTTTCCGTGCACGGTACCTCACCAGAAGTCAGGAAGCAAGCGAGGTGTCCACCACGGCTGAGGAGGCAGGCGGGGCTGGGTCCTGGACTCGTCTGCCTGGAGCTGCCCGGAGCCAGGGGGGAGACTGCTGTCCCGGGCCGCCCCGCCGCCCAGCCACCCCTGCAGGGGAGAGGCGGGAAGGAGGGCTGGCTTCTGGCAGGGCTTGCCTCTGAGACAAGCACGGAGGCAGGAGAGCTCTTCATATTGTTTTGATCTAATATTTCTTGTTAATGACGCACTAAGAAAAAAGTTCTGTAAATACGGCATGGCTTCATTCTTCAGATAATTCTCATCACATGGCTTAGTGTTCTGCAGTCTGCAAAGCTCTCACTCTGAGGTCTTAGAAGGATGCTATTCATATTCAGAGAAAAACTTCCATCGTAGTAATCCAGCAAGTAAAATGCTGCTTCTCAGAAAGAAAAGCAGAAAGAAAACTGTGGAAGGTCACAGAAGCAGCCAGATGGCCCACGCCACAAGTCCTCGGCAGGTGACTGCAAGAAGCGTGTTCTTGAAAGAATGCAGCTCAGACAAGGGGGACCCCAGTCACTGCCACCAAGGCGGGAATTCGCCCACTAAGCTGGCCCACCGTGACTGGTCCCAGGAGGATTCCAGGGAGTCCCACTTCGTTGTTGTCCTTTCTTAGTTTGTCTTCATTACTTTTTAAACAAATTTATAAAACAGTACCTGTTCATTGTAAAGAAACAAACATGATAGAAACCCACAGGAAATACCATTTGCCCGTAATCCCACTCCTCAGTGGTGGCAGGTTGTTAGTATTTGGTTTAAATCTTCCAGATCTATTTCTGTGCATAGCCAGATGGACAGATAGACACAAACATAGTTTGTTTCACAGAGACGGGACTCTGTTGTGTCTGATGCTTTCTGTTAGTACCTCACACTCTCAGCCATCTTCCTGTGTCCGTGCACAGCGACGCAGCGCATTGCTTTAGCCACATAGTCTCCTGGCTGGCTCTGCCACCCTCAGCTGTGTGGGTTTTGCCACTTCTCCATCTCTCTGCGCTCCAGCGTTTCTGTCTGTAAAGGCAGTAAAGCGGGCGTCTGCCTCATAGGTTCCAGCCGTGTGCTTAGTAAATATTAGCACATGTGACCTTATCATCATGATTCCACTGAAAGGGGCCGTCCCCATTCCTCGTATCCATGAGCAACTGGTTGTTTCTGCACACACACCTGTGTATTTCATGGCACCGTGTCCGTCATTGCCTATGTGTCTATGTTGCCATTACAAACTCCCGAGCACACCCATGCCCACACACAGTGTACTGATTGTGAGTCCTAGATTCGTTGACTCCTATAAGCCTGCACCTACCCTGTTGCTTTTTTTTTTTTAACCAGAAGTCCTGTCCCCCAGCACTGTTTTGCAAGTACCCCCAAAATTCCTCAAGTGCAGGAGACTGACTCCTGTTAGTCTGACTCACAAGAGGCTGAGCCAGGAAGTATGGGAACTAATATGCACCAAGAGTATCCTGTAGCTGGACCCTGCAAACACTGGACCACCTTGAATCTCAGCTCCCCTTGGCTGGGGATGCTGCCTCTGTTCCCAGTAATGGGAACATATGTGGGGAGGACCGCATCCTGGGCCAGCACACTAAAGCGCTAGAGCGGGTCCGTCTGGGCAGCTTGCCCAGGCTCTTCACCAAGTGCCCCGCCCTTATCCACCTGGGTGAACCCACATTAGCATAGGTGCCCCTGGGTAGTGACCTGCCTGCTGAAGGCATCCATTCACCCAGCCTGGCCTTCCCTTTGTTAAGTCCTGGAAGACCAGGTGTATGAGGCACAGACACATCCCAGCAGGGCCTCGGGGCAGCCCTCCTGCCAGATGTCACCAGGCCTTGTGAAAAGGGGCTGTGGCAGAGCTGTGTCCCGGAGGGCCGCCTGGCCTTCCCTCCCATTTGTAGCCTCTGCAGACAGGCCAGGTACTCTCCCCTTCACAGCAGCCCCACGTGTACTGAGACAGGGTGGCATCCAACACGGGTTCAGGCACGTCGCCTTTCCTACTGCAGAGCCCCAGGCTGCCGGCCCACTTGGTTCTGGGGCTCCCACCAGGAGCCTCTCCTGTGGCTGCTGCACCTGGGGGCCCGTCTGTGCTGAGCTCAGTGCTGTGGGGAGCACATGGCTGGCCTCTGTTCACAGTCAGAGGTTAAGTAGACCTGTGTACACAGGTTTTGCGTGTGTTTTCTAGCACACGTGTTCCAGTTGCTCTGGAAGTTTCTAAAAGCAGGGCCCCCCGAATCTGGTGTTTCTTTGGAATCTCAAGTACCTTGGACAGTTCTCTGCCCAGCAGAACTGGAGTTAGAGGTTGGTCCAGGACCAGGCAGACTTTGAGGGTAGGGGGCTAGAGTCGCCTCCTTCTGGAAGTCAGCACCACCCTCCCCAGCACGATTCCCACATGGAGCTCACCCCTGCAAGGTGCAGCCACCCAGGGCGGGCCTTCTCGTCACTGTTCTCTCCTCAGCCTGCTGCAGCCGGGCAGCTGCGCGCGTCCCTGCCCGGGTCCTGGGGCACTACTGTGAGCATGAGTGACAGGCAGGCCTTCCCGCCTGCCTGGCCTCTGCATTCGTCCACGTCCTCTGGGCCTGGCCAGTCGAGGGGTCTTGGCAAACATGGTATTTTTCTAAAGGACCATCCCAGCCTCCGTCTCCTTCTAGGGAAGTGTGGTCCTGCCACTGCCCGGGGCAGCCAGCTAGTGGGTGGTTGGCTTGCCCCTGGATGTGCGCTGATCTTGGCCCCTCTGCCTTGCCCCAGGCCTCGTGTATGACACGCTGATGCTGAAGCACCAGTGCACCTGCGGGAGCAGCAGCAGCCACCCCGAGCACGCCGGGAGGATCCAGAGCATCTGGTCCCGCCTGCAGGAGACAGGCCTCCGGGGCAAATGCGAGGTAATGGCAGCCGGGGCAGCTGGGCAGCTTCGGCTTTGGACACTACTAGAGGGGACCCTGATGGGCCTGCTTGATTCAGGGCATTGGCTTTGCAGGTGGTTCTTTGGGCTTACAGACCCAGGGGAAGGGCCATGAGCATCTTCACTGTCTGCCTCTTGGGCAGGCAGCCATCTGCTGAGAAGCCTGGGGCTGTCTCTGTGGAGTCCCGGGCAGGAAGCTGCTGCCTCTGTCTGTGCCCTTTTCTGACGTTTCACTCCCACCTCTCGCCTAGCAGGCTCCTCCCGAGGTCCAGGGCTGCCGCTCCCTGCCTCCGGGTCACTTCCCCGAGGAAGCCAGTTCCCACCACACTCCCCCTGGGCGGCCAGGAAGGAGCCACGGGGAGATCCGATTGTATCTCAGATCAGGCCTGTTGGCTTTTTGTTAAAATAATTTTCTCTTTTTTTAAGATTTTGAAAGCTTCTTCGAGAACATAGGGAGACCTCAGGCCCTTGGGGCCCTCCTCAGAGTTAAGGTGCTGGCGTGGCAGTAGGTCGTGAAGGGAATGGAGCTGCAGGCTGGGCCTGGCCTGGTTTGAATTCAGCTCCCTTACACAGCTGAGTCACATGAGGAGGCTTAAGGGACGCTGCAGCTCTGGCTGGGCCTCAGTTTCCCTGGCCACCAGGGGTTGGCAGCGGCCTCACTTGTTCTCATACAAGCAGGGCCCAGCCCCACCTCCTGATAGGAACCAGAGCCCTGCCCCGAACCTGGCTGCAGTGGACTCCCAGGCCCAAGGAGGTGAGAAGGATCAGCCAATTAACGCTGGAGGACAGGACGGTGAGGCTGTCCCAGCTGGTGCGCTTTACCCTGGAGGCAGCTGTCACAGGGGATCTCAAGCTCTTTGACCGGGAGGAGGGTGTGGGCAGGCCCTGCTGATAGTGCAGGCAGGAAGAGAAGGGACTCCCGTCTGGGAACTGGTGACCTTGGACAAATTTCCATTTCTTTGTCTGTAGAGAGGGGCTGGCGACACTGTGCAGGATCACACAAGGCGCCACCCCTGCCAGGACCCACCAGTAGGGACCTGCTGTGTCCCCTCCCCACACCAGGATTCCCACCACCCTACAATAGCTCACAGGGTGGACAGGAACCTCCACACCCACTCCTTCAACAGCCCTGGGCACCCAACAGCCCAGGGCCCAAGTGGCCGTGGCAGAGATGAGTGAGCACATGGAGCTGGCGTGGCGTGGCCTTTCCACGTGAGCACGGAGAGCCTCCAGTCTCCTGGCTTAGTTTCTGCAGGATTCCGCTCTGCAGGTTCACCTGCCCCTCCTTTAGAAGCTGGGATATTTGGGAACTTAAGCCAATCTGTGCTTCATCTTACCCCCGTTTCCTTTACCAGTTTTATTGGTGATACATGATTCTCGGGGGAATTCTCCAAAAGTCAGGCCCAGGACCCTCTCCTGCAGTGCCCTCTGGGAGGAGGGAGGCGGGGAGGAGCCACTGCAAAGGCTCTTGGCACCTGCTTCAGGGATCCGGTCGGGATGGCTGTGCCACTGGAGGGCAGCATTGCCCAGCGGACACTGGCTTCGGGAAACTCCTCCTTCCCCACGTCCATTCCCTCCACAGGACCAGACAGTTGTCCTGCTGCCCCTTCCGGGGACTGCCCAAGGCCTCCTGAGGCTTCCAGAGCTCCATGATCTGCTTCCCTGTCCCTCCCCTACGTGTGCCCCCACCCTCAGGGGGGGTCCCCTGAGGCCAGGGGATTGGGAGAGGGTCTCTCGGCCAGAAAAGCAAAGCAAATGCGAGCAAGGGAGGAGTGAGAAAACAAAGACCTTGGAAGAAACAGCCCACTCCTCCGCCCGCCCTCGGCTCCTCTGCCCACCCTCGGCTCCTCTGCCCGCCCTCGGCTCCTCTGCTTGCCCTTGGCACCGTGGGTAAAGGTGCCAGCCACAACTGGGCCAAGGGCTGGCAGAAGGTCCCCAGGTGTTGGGGCTGTGGGACAAGACCTGAGCCTGGCAGGATCTCAGGGAGAGGAGAGCTAGGGGAAGACGGGTGACTGGGGGACAGCCACAGAGGCCGTGGAGGCCGTGCTCCCTGGACGGTGGTGCCTTGTTCCCACACGTGGGGCAGCTCTCCAGTGTGGGTGCCCCCCAGGTTCAGAGCGAGCGATGTGCTAACTCAGCCTAGGGGGACGTGACGTCACCCACCAGGCTTTCAGTGCCAGCCAGCCGGGGGTCACTGGCCTCCTGAGATGGCTGAGCAGAGGGGCCATGGGTATGGGGCATGGTTTGCTAAGTGGGTACCTGATAGAAGAAGATGGGGTGGATGGGGCTGTGACTTCCCCAGTCCACAGACCACATGGAGGCCACAGCAAGACTGAAGCCCAGGCCGGAGGGCAGGGCCTCACAGGGCAGGGCCTCATGGTCAGCATCCCTCCTGTGGGTAGATGACTGTCTGGAGGCCTGGGGAGTGAGGCCCTCCCCTCACACTGCTTCGTGTGGTGAGGAGGGATGGGAGTGGGCTGGGAGATCTCTGTGAGCTTGGGACCGTGTCGATGCTGGCAGGCCGGCCCAGCAAGACGTGGCCCCCGGTCCAGCTGTCTCGCTCCCTGCCTCACTCCAGAGCAGCCGGGCAGGCCTCGGGAAGCTGCCTCACACATTCTGAGCAGTCGGGGGGTCCTCTGAGTACAGCCACGTGTGTGTGCGGGCCCCGCCCTCCTGCAGAGGCTTCCTGGGAGCCAGAGCAGCTCCTGGCCAATTCGCGTGCCCAGCTTGGTTTGTCCTGCCTCCAGGCATGGCGTCCGGGAAGGAGAGGAGAAGGGAGTAGGCTGGAAGTCAGATGTCACAGAGACCAGGGTCACAACTGGGGTTTGCACCCTGCCCCAAGCCTGTTTTCTGTGAGGAACAAAGACTCCTCCTGTCTTATCCCAGGAATTAAAGGGAGATGGAAATGACGAGGTCGGCCTCCCAAGAAAGTGGGAAGGGGCCACCATCGCCACCGCTCCGAGAGCGGCTCTGGAAAAGCCTCTCAAGTGCTGCCACGCAGGCTGAGCCATCTCCATGTTGTGGGCCTGCAGCCTGAGCCGCCGCGGTGTCGCAGGGCTTTGGGGGCTTTGATTCTGTGTCTTTTCTGTCCCCATTTCTTGTGTTTGTAGGCAGGGGGTTCTTCTACTTTTCTTCTTTGCCTTATTCTAACATCACCTTTAATCTGTGAATTTAATTTGTGGTCTAACGTCAAGTCTCTCTTGCTGCAGTTCAGGCTCTCATCCAGTGGGTCCCTTTTGAGTGAGGAGGACACGCATGGCTGCCGGGGCCCTGCCGTTCTTTCACCTGAAGTCCACACTGCATGACCTGCCTCTTAGCACCACAGGGCACAACCCTGGTCCCCTACAGGGGCCTTCCCAAGCATGGGCTGCCCAGGCCTGTCTGTCCAGAGGGAACTTGGCCCTGGCCACAGCTGCCTATGCCTGTGCAGACATGGGGGCTTCCGGAAATCACTGGAAATGAGAAGCCCCAGCCGGGGTGTGGTGGCTCACTCCTGTAACACCAGCACTTTGGGAGGCCGTGGCGGGCAGATCACCTGAGGTCAGGAGTTCAAGACCAGCCTGGTCAACATGGTGAAACTCCATGTCTGCTGAAAATACAAAAATTAGCCAGGCGTGGTGGCAGGCACCTGTAATCCCATCTACTCAGGAGGCTGAGGCAGGAGAATCGCTTGAACCCGGGAGATGGAGGTTGTAGTGAGTCAACATCGCACCACTGCACTCCAGCCTGGGCGACAAGAGCGAACTCCGTCTCAAAAAAAATAAAATAAATTAGAAGCCCCCGCAGCTGCCCGGGGCCCTAACTGCACCCTGACCCCTACCCAGGGAGTGCGTCCCTCCTGCCTGGCTTTCCAGGGACGTTCGGCTTATGTCCCCAGAGTAGAAGCAGCGCTAGGTCGTGGTGGGACCGTAGAGTCGTTTTTTACCATTGGAAGCCGTGTCACATGTTGTCTTTGTTAAACCAGGGACCTTCATAGAGAAAGCCCGGTTTTGCGAAATTGTTGTTCGTGAAGAGCGAACCCGCAGACCAGCCTCCCCTGCCCAGGGCACCTGCCCTCTGGAGGTCCCTCCCCTGTGGGCAGGGGCTGAGCTCTCCTGGCTCCACCCCTTCCTTCTCCGCCCTGCATGGACAGGACTCCCAGGTGCACTGCGTCCTGCAGGAAGGCTGTGTGCCATGGCTCCTGGTGGTCTGAGAGGAGCCCCAGGTGCTGGGCTGGCGTAGAGAGCCCCCGAGCTTCGCCCGCCCCAAGTCTCACACACAGGGTGGGCAGCGAGGCCTGCAGGAGCTCAGTGGATGCCGGGGCAGGGCTGCGGTCGGGAGGCAGAGAGCAGATCCTGCTCCGGCCTGAGGGAAGCAGGTGATGGCCACAACCAGGGCCACCTGTGTGGCATCTGACTCATCCTGTGGTGGCCTAACCCTCTGAGAGCCGTTTCCATGTGAAATGTTAACTCGAATCTCATGTCCGAAGCCATCGTCCCCTTTAAAAGGCTAAATGAATGTAGCTCAACTGAAGAACTCTCATTTTCCTGTGACTTTCTGGAGAAAATCTGAATTAGCCCAGGGATCTCAATCTGAGGAATTTCCAAACCACAGAGAGACGCAGCCGGACGCCAGCTAGCCATGCAGGGCAGATGCCAGACCCTGGCGGCTGTGGCCCCAGGCGGTCCAAGGAAGGCTGCTTCATCCTGGGGCTCAGAGACTCCGGGAGCACGGCTGGGGTTTCCCTTGAACGTGAGGGAAGCGTGGCAGCTCACCTCTATTTTAAGACCAGACCCTGGCAGTTGGAAAGCAAAGTAATAATTTGATGCCAAGTCATTTGTGCGACAGTGAAGGGTAATGCGTTGAAGGCTGGAATTATCTTTTAAAATGTTTTTTCAAAGCTATAATTAAGTGTAAGCCCTCTAAAATATTTCTTAAATATTTTAAAATATCATGTTGGGTGATGTTGCTTCTTATTTTGCAATAACCAAATAACGTGCTTGTTTGTGTATCAAATTAAGTTTCCTTGTGGGCAGTGGTTTCAGTTGGAGTTTCTGTCTGTGGAACTGAAGCAGCAGCTTCTGCAGAACGTATGAGTGTCCTCTCGCCTGTCCCCACAGTGCATCCGCGGACGCAAGGCCACCCTGGAGGAGCTGCAGACGGTGCACTCGGAAGCCCACACCCTCCTGTACGGCACAAACCCCCTCAACCGGCAGAAACTGGACAGTAAGAAACTTCTAGGTATTTCAGGACCTTCCTTTCCTCCCATATTGGGTTTGAAGTCCCCTGAGGTTGTGTTTCCAGCTCTCAGCCCCTTGTGTCTGGGGTGCCTGTGGGTGTCGCCTGCCAGGTTATAAGGTAAAGGGCCTGGAAGGGAACCTTTCACCCTCTGTTCACAAGCCACTAGTTGTTGATGAATGTGCCAGGTAGCAGGTGTGTTTGTGTAAAAACTGGGCTGAGAGCCGCTGGTTTAGAAGCATCTTGAATCCCAGGGTTTCAGTTCGAGAGGCTTATTAGGAACACTCCCAGTGCGCTGCCTGCCCTGCCCTGCACTCCACTTGAAGGCCCATCAGGGCAAGACCAAGAGGAGACGCAGGAGTGTCCACCACTTAGGGGTGAAAGGCTGCTGGTGTCTTAGCTCTGGCTTAAAGCACCTGCAAATGTGGTGGAGGGGAATTTTGGCCTCATGGAGAGAACTTTCTAATGGGCATCCTCTGCCCGGGAAACTGGTGAGAGGCTTTCTACAGGGATCTTCAGCAGAGGCAGGTGAACTCCCAGCCAGCTCCATGGGGCTCCCAGAGTTCCCAGGGCACAGAACCCAGACCCGGGGCTGGGGGCTTCCAGGACACAGAACCCACATCCGGGACCGGGGGCTCCCAGGACACAGAACCGAGACCCGGGGCCGGCGGCTTCCAGGGCACAGAACCCAGACCCGGGGCCGGGGGCTTCCAGGGCACAGAACATGGACCCAGAGCCGGGGGTTCCCAGGACACAGAACCCAGACCCGGGCATGGGGACTCCCAGGACATAGAACCCAGACCCGGGGCCAGGGACTCCCAGAACACAGAACACAGAACCCAGACCCGGGGCCAGGGGCTCCCAGGGCTGTCTTTGTTCCTCGATAACGTCCTTCCCTGCCTCCCAGCCACCGTGAACCAGGACAGTCACTGCCCACTGGTTTTCTTCCCCATCTTTTGTGCCTTTGCCCATATGCTCTTCCCCGAGCGGGACCCTAGGAAGGCAGGGAGGGAGAACTAGGAACCATGAACGCAGGGGTTGCAAGGGCAAGGAGAGGGTGGGCTGTGCCTGGCTCGTTGACTGCGTTTGGTGGGGCACACATCGCGGGAGGTATCCTCCATGCCAGGCCTGTGCCCAACAGACTCAGCCTCACAGAGACCTGCACGCCTAGTCCTTCATGTGTTCTCTCATTCGCTCGCTCACGCCTTTACCCGCTCGCCGAGGGCACCTTCCGTACTGGATGCCCTGTAGGTACTGACGGGGTCGCAGACCATGGAGTCAGTGGGGCCGTGAGGACATGCATGGGCTCTGGCCTGGGGTGGCAGTCATGCTGCTTCCGGAGTCCCCCCTGCCCTGTGGTATGGAGGCTTCTAAAAGGACAGAAACCTTAAGTTTAGGGAAAGTGGGAAGGGAGTGAACAGCAGTAGGAAGCAGGTGGGCCGGGATGTGGCTGAGCAGGTTCATGAGGTGGGTCCTGAGCTAGCGCCGGGGACAAGGGCCACCAACCCACCCCACAGACCACAACAGCTCAGGGTCAGCAACTGCAGAGACAATGGACTCAGGGAGGCGCTCAGTCAAGGGCCTGGGCCAGAGCTGCTGGAAAGGCCTCTGGGCCCCGCCTCCCTACACAGCTGCTTCGCCTGCTGCTGCTCTAGAAGGGGTACAACAGGGGCTTCCTGGACTGGGGACAGCTGCTCTAGATGAGGGCATGGATGCCAAGCCCCCACCCCTCCCCACTGGGCTGCCAGCAAGCTGACCTTTACCCTCCGAGCAGAAGACAGGAGGCCCCTCTGTGGATTTGACCCGCCCCAAAAAAGCTGACATCAGGGTTTCCAACAAATAGCCCCTGAGATCCCTTATACTGGTGCCCATGGTTAATCACCCGCTCTGTGCCCAGAGCTTCCACCCAGGAAGTGTTGGCACTTCCCCCTTAGGAGAGGACAACCAAGGAGGACCCAGGGCCCGAAGAACGGCTCGGTAGGGACCTGGAGCCGGGGCCGTGCAGGGGAAGGCGGCTGGGGGCAGACAGTGCAGGGCGCTAACCCAGCTGCCATTAGCGCCCTCAGAGAGAAGACGCTGCGTCCACATGACGTGGACAAGTTCAGTGGAAAAGGGGAAAGCACAGGACGTTCAGAGGAGACAAAAATTAAACACCTGACTGCAGAAAAAGAAAATCCTCAGACCGGAAGATATGGTGATGTCATCTCCCAGAAACCAGAGAAAACCGTGACAGCGCTGGGCAACTGGGAAGTGAGGTGATGGAGAAGAAGGCCAGAGCTCACTCCACTGTGCAGGGTCCAAAGAGCAGGAGTTCCAGGGAAGGCAGAGGCCAGGAGGAGGTGTCTGTGGAATTCAGAAGGCCCCAGGCCAAAGGCAGGGCTGCAAGGACCCACCAGGGGTAAGAAAGACCCTCTTAGGGAGAACCAGCAGAGCCTCAAAATGCAGGGACAGAGGTGAGAGCCAGGGCGCTAGAGACAGCCAGGGCACCTGCGGACTCCACAGGGCCTGTGGCCATGCCAGTTCTAAGGGCGCGTCATTGCCCTCCTGAAGTCTGTGTGCTGCCAAACTGCCGGGTGAGGAGGAAGGTGGCACAGAGCCATTCCAGGCATGCAAGGGCCAGAGCTTTCACCTTCCAGCTCTTCTTTCTCAGGAAGCCACCAGAGGACATGCTGTCCTAGGGCAAAAGAACACTGGGAGGCCCATCGTGGAGGCCGGCCTGTACTGTGAGAGGGTGGTGGCCAGGGAGCCTGAGATCGCCCTGCAGAGAGTGAAGCTGATGCAGCTACTCCCGAGGAAGGGGCACGTGCTCCTCGGGGAGAAGATGGCGCATGGATGGTGGAGTACCTAGCAGAGGCAGGGAGCACCGCTGGTGCCAGGGAAGGGAGCCCTAAAGGGCGAGGGCGGTGTGGACGGCAGAGAGGGCAGGCAGCCTTGTGTCCGGGAGCTGGGTGGGCCAAGGCTGGGAATCGAGGCACTGAGGCTGGAGTGTGCTGTCCCTCAGGATTCTCCAGTCCTTAACAGGCAACGTCACTGCCTCCCCGTGTGGCACCTTAGCTTCTGGCCAGGTTCTCCAGCGCGGGAGAGGCTGCCTGCGGGCCCCGTGAGGGAACAAGACCTTTGCCTCGATGTCGCCGGGGCTGCCACAGCAGGGGCTTTCAGTAGGCGTGGGAGTTGCTGGGTGGCCTCAAGGCATCAGCTCATCAGGCCGTGTCCTGCACACGCAGCTCCGTGCACCCACCTCCACGCCTTTCAGAATGGCGGCTGCTCCTGACACCTTCGTCCGTTTTCACAGGACCAGCTGTCGGTCCATCCCCTGCCACCTTCAGTCTTCCAAACCTGTGGAATTCAGTGGGCGGAGGATGGAGGCAGGACCAGCTCCACCGGCAGGAGAATGAAGGCAGGCTTAGCTCCACCACCTTGCTTAGGTTTCTAAGCTAGTTTCAAACAAAGTTTAAGAGAGATGATCAAAAAGGAAAGCAGAAAGTTGGAGGTGTGGCATCCTTGGTGAGAAAGTCATGGACCGAGCGAGCTTGGAGCTCTCTTTCCTGCGATTGCTGGTTACCCAATGGGCCCCTGGTCCTCAGTTCACAGCCCGCATTAGGCCCTTGAAGACCCCTTTTTGATTGCTGGTTTCTTTATTGAAGTATCTGCAGCATCCCTTTGCCCCGTTTCTGTCCTCTGAAGGTAACCCTTCTAGCCAGCTTCTTTTGTTTACAGGAAGGTTGATCATTCTATTTCGTGTTCTTTCCTGCAAAGCTTTGTGCTTTAAAATCTGTTCACATTCCTATGAGGATACCTCCCCCATTACCTTCGTACAACTCGAGATCGATTTTTGAATTTCCGACGATTGTCCTAACCCAGAAACTTCATTATCATCAGTCTAAGTATTTCAGACACGGTAATAGCTGATGATTATCTTGAGTTTTGCTAACATAGCCCTAATGAGGTGTTTAAACACTACTGTGTGATTTTTTCTTTCCTCTTTTAATGGAATCCACAAGCCGCTAAGCCGTGTGCAAGGGCCTTCATATGTCCTTTCTGATGTGGTGAGACGCCACACATCAGGCTTGGCTGAATTGGATCATGAGCCTGAGGCAGGCTGGCGGCTGCCGTACATGTCACTGAAAGTCATGTGGCTCATCGGCTCATGTCAGCTGGCAGGGCGCTGCATCCAGGCAGAGCTGGGCCCCTGGCGAGTGGACACCGGTGATGCTCAGGGCAGGGTGCGGCGGGAAAATGACTTGGCACAGCGAGGGCCTCCTCCCAGCCAGGGAGCGGGAGCAGCGGCGAGAGGACGGCTGGAGCCTTCCCTTCCCTACCCCAGGCACAGAACACCTGTCTGCCAGCCTGCGGTAAACAGACAAGTAGTAAGCCTGGTCGTTTGCAGAGCTTCGGGCCCTGTCACTAGGCTGGAACATTTCGTGGCCTGGGCTTGGTGATTGTGACTTCAAACCACAAGAGGCTGCTGGGCTCCTCACAACTGTCACCAAAACTCTGCCTGTTGCTCCATTCCTATACACGTGCATTTGGATGCGTGATCGTGTGCTTTTTCTTTGTTGTTTTGGTCTTTGCTGGATAATGAGCAAACTCAAAACAGTTGGTGACTTGTGGTTTTAATGTGGGCATGGTTGGCTATGATTTCAAAGAGATTCAGTCTCTTGCAGATACCTGGACACTGTCTGTCTACTGTGAATTCGTAGAGCTAAGCGCGTGCATTATTTGGAAAACGAGCTCCCTAGTTTCTAGCAGTGTCTTTCCCATGTGTTGGAGTAGTCAGTGTTGGAAGGGGGTGGCCCACGGAGCCACTACCAGCCCCAGCTACTCAGCCACTCACCAAGGCCATGACCACCCTTCCGAGGCAGCACCCGCCCACTGTGGTGAGGTTGGCATTAAGTGACTCCACTACAGATGACGGGCAGTGAGCAGGGCAGCAGGTGGCTTGGCACCCTGGCACCCATGCCCCCCTCCTTTTTCAGTCTCATTCCACCTGCCCATCAGCTCTCTCGCCCACCACATCCCGCCAGCTCCTGCCCAGCCCCATCGCTTCTCAAAGGGGTCAGGCATGCAGGCCGCTTCCCCACGTGGTCAACCTCACGTCCACTATTTGCTGCCACCAAGGCAGAGAGGAGAGCAGGGCCAACATGCCTGTGGGGATGAGGGCTGGCTCTCATGAGGCTCAGGTGAGAAGTGTTAGCTGATGTCCCACGTCCCACACTAACACGTGGACACGGGAACCAGGGTCAGGAGCCACGAGCCAGGCAGCGGCGGGTCCGTGAGCCGTGGACGCGGAGGAAGTAGGCCCGGGACAATGCCCAGGAAGAGGAGGCATGCTGGTGCTGGTGCTGCTGCCCGCAGTGGGCGTGAGGGCCCGGACCCAGAGGCTGAGGTGTGCCTGCTGAGCGCTGCAGGGAGAGCCAGGGCTGACCAAAGCCCCTGCTGGCTCAGTGCCTTGTACGGCCTAGGCAGGGAGGAGGGACGAGGTGGGCACAGACCCTGCCCTCAGAGCCAGGCCAGGTGGAGAGGAGCACGGGCTTCCTCTGACGCAGACTGGCCCCTCCCAGCACGAAGGGCTTTGTCTGGAAAACGTCACAGCATCTGCATGGCGCCTGCGCCCCACAGCTGGCCGGGCCGTCCTAGCAGGTGGGGGCCAGGCCTCTCCTTCCTTTGCCTGGGGGGCTCGGGAGCCTCTGAGCCCCTTCTGAAAGCAGCTGCAGCTGCTGCCCCCTGCCTCCTGCCTCCTGCCTCCTGCCCTGCTCCCTGTTGGCGTGGCAGCCTCCCAGCCCCGGGACGTGGACATGTCCATTCTACAAGCCTCTGGCCTTGATGCAGATCTGCCACCTCCACAGAGTGGCGAGAGCCTGGGTCAGCTCTGCAGGTCGGGCCTCACACTAGGGCCTGGCTGTGGCCGTCTGTGGACATGTGGGCATCGGTAGGGGGTGCGGGTGTCCGTGGGGAGTGTATGTGTCCATGGGGGTGGGGATGGGGGGCGGGCATCCATAGGGAGGGTGCAGGCATGTGTGGTGGTGTGATAGGGGTGCAGGCATGTGTGGTGGTGTGATAGGGGTGCAGGCATCTGTGGGGGGTCCGGGCATCTGTGGGTGGTGCGGGCGTCCGTGGGCTAAGGCAGGCAGGCCTCTGTTTCGCTTCTCATCTGTGCCAGCCACTCCCCTGCGGCTTGGGGCCATCGCGGTTGCTCCCCAGCCAGGCATGCTGTGCCCCGAGGAAGGGTTCCTCTCATGCACACCCAGCTCACCAGGCCGGCAAGCCCTCCAGGCAAGAGGCAGGCAGGCCCTGATGGACCCACGGCCAACTCCTTCCTATGGCCCCCGGCAGCCGACCCTAGAAGCGTGGACCAGAGCACACAGAGTGGGGGCTGCTGTTCTGGAGTAGGCTGAGAATGGGAGAGGAGCCCCACAGTGGGAGGCACAGCCCAGCTGAGGCCAGAAAGCGGGGTCCCACGCTGGATAAAGGAGCCGGTTACATCCAGCCAGTCTCCCTGGAGCATGTGAAATGCCACCCCAGCTCCAGCCCAGGAAGGGGCCTGGGGCTGCGGAGAGCAAGGGGTTGGGGCCCAGGCAGCCGCTAGGAATGGCAGGCCCCGCCCCTGGTTAGTGGGGGTCTCTCGTCCTCCACAGATGGGTTTTAAGTTGGTGACATGCTTTCAGCCAGCACTGGGGTCAAACAGGAAAAAGACAGCACCCCTGTCCTGGGAGCACTTTCACTGCTGAAGCAGGCGTGGGCGCCAGAGCAGTGGGTGAGGGTTTCGAGGGCCCCGATTTCCATGGGAGGAGGCCTGGCGTGCAGCTGTGATGTCCTTGGAGCCCTCAGTCAGCTGTACATTTTCCGCCTGTGTCGCAGGGAGGGGCTGTCGCTGCATACATTCCCGAGGATCTCAGGGTCTAAGAGTCCTCGTCACCCATGTTTAATCCGGGACCTATCCTGTTTGCCGTGGGAGGGGGCTGCTAGACAAGCCCTAGGAACTCACTGAGGAGCCAGGCTCGGGGTCCTGGAGCAGGAGTTGCTGTTAGATACAGACGGGCAGGGGCATGGGCCACAGGCAGATGCTCGCCAGGGATACCTCATGCTCCCCAGTGGCTTAATGCCTCTCCTGGGCCCCTGACGGGCTGATGCCACAACAATTTGGGGTGTCCCCACCAGGATCTGTGACCCAGCTCAGCCCTCACAGGAGCCAAGGCACCTCAAAGGGCCAGACGCTGACCCCGCAGCAGGGCCACAGGGTGTCACATGGGGGAGCAGTGGCCCCTCGGTGTCCCACAAATGCCCAAGCACCACTGAAGACCCCGGAGTGCTCCCAGGGCCTCGGCCTCATGCCCTTGGCCTCTCTGACTGTCTCCCTCCCCCCTACAGGCTCGCTCGCCTCCGTGTTCGTCCGGCTCCCCTGCGGTGGTGTTGGGGTAAGTGTTCCTTTAATGTGTAAATAATGTCCTGTTTCTTCTCGAGTCCCAGTGGTCACAGAAATCGCAGCCTTGCTTCCCTCAAAGTGAATAATTGCTGCCAGGTGTTTTCCACACACAGGGCCTGGCGGGCAGGGGCTGCCCATGTGCGGCTTCAAAGGCCGTGTGAGCCGAGAGCGTTTTGATCGCCGACTCGGGCACCTTTCTCTGGGGAAGGTCGTCTGGTGCTTGCGGCTGGGGCTCTGGGGTGCAGTGGCTCTCGCCTTAAGAGCTTGCGGCTGGGGCTCTGGGGTGCAGCGGCTCTTGCTTTAAGAAACAGGATCCTGTGTGCAGCCAGTGTCTCATCCCCTTCTAAGTCTGCGGCAGTAATCTGCTCACAGCAGGCCACGAGTATGGTGTGGGTAGAATGCATGCTGCTTTATTCTGTACCCAGTTTCCACTCGAAGCTACAGGCAGGGCTCCCAGTGCAGTGACCGTGATACTCATGGGCCAAGTGGAGTCTGTAGGGCTGCTTGCTGGGCTGTGTTGGCTTCTGCGAGCTGATCATACGGACCTGGCCTGGGCATATGAATCACTGGGCTGTGCCGGCTTCTACGAGCTGATGATATGGACCTGGCCTGGGTGCATGGGTTCGCAAGGACTTTCCAGTCTGGGCATCTGCCCTTCCGTCCACACAGGAAGGGTCAGGTCTTGCAATCAAATTTCTCAATAACAAAAGGGTTCTCCCCTGGCCCCTGACCTCCTTGATGCAGCCTGGGCAGGGGTGGCAACAGCGAGGGCGGCCATGAGAAACTGAGGCAGAGCCTCCGAGCAGATCTGGGCCATCATGGTCCTGCAGCGCCACGAATCACCGCAGACAGTTACAGGCAGGGAGGATGGGAGCTAGTGTATAGCAGGAGCCGCTGCAGCCGAAACAGTGCGGTGTATGTGTAATCACAGATCGCAGGGTGAAGCTCAAGGTCTGGATTCTGTTATGGAAATGAAACAAAATTGTTTTCTTCCTGAGTTTTTATAAAAATCACTGCTTTGAAAATTATCCCGTCAGAAAGAGAATAAATGGCATTTATTCATACCACCACCAAGCCCTCCTAGAGTTATTTTATTTTGTATTGTAAATAGGCTGCAATCTCTTAATTTGGGGCAAGTTTTTGGCCAGACTTGAAAAGAATTGAATTTGCACTGCCCTGCAGCCAGCACGCCTGTGCAAGGAAGAATTTATCATTTGCAAATGAAAGCTAAGTGCAGACTCAGAGCTGAGGGGGTGAGCCCAGCAGCCCCTCCCAAGTGTTAAATCCAGATCTGAGGCACAACAGATGAGAGCTGCACCCTCACATCTGGGCACAGACGAGTGCACACTCGTGCGCAGATGCTGATGGAAAAGCTCTCCACGTGGACGTGAGCAGGGAGGGCAGAGAGGGTAACCTGTTGGCATGGGCAGGGAACAGTGTGGGCCGTGGGGTGTCCTCAGGTGCAGCCATCGGCAGGATGCGTTTTCTTCCCACTGTTTTCTAAAAGGAAGAAGACAGACAGGAGGCCTGTGCAGGCCCCTGCCCTGGCTGTGGGGTGCACTTGCTGTCGCTGGCACAGATGCAACTCTCCTGAGCCTCATGTCTCCAGATCTGTGAGGGGCCAGCCTCTTGGGGTGTCAGGAGGAGCAAAGTAGACCTCAGGAGCCACAGTGTGGGCGCACGGGAGGTGCTCTTGTCAGGGAGGGCAGAGCGGGTGAGCAGAGCCGGTGAGCAGAGTGGGTGAGCAGAGCCGGCCGCCTTTCCCAAAAGCAGCTGCAGACTCTGCTGGAGACGGAGCAGTGGGGCTTGGAACACCGAAAACTCACCCTTCCTCAACACTGGGAAATGTGGGCTGTAAAGTGCTTTGACCTCTTTTTCAAATCAGATCAGCTTCTGCATTGTTCCTCTCCAGTGACCACAAGTTTCAACTAGGTGAGGAGCTGGTGTCCTTGCTCGGCCTCGCCCGGCACAGTCCTGGCCTCCTCTTGTGCGCCCGGCTCCCCACGGCTCCTCTGAGCTTCCCAAAGGCCTCCCAGCCCTGCCAGCCCTCGGTGTGTCCGTTCTAGACTCCATAGGATTCTCCATGGGAACCTTTCTCCATGTTTCCCCCCGCCATTTTCCTGTCTTTATTGTGAAAGAGAAAGAAAGAGAGAAAGAGAAGAGAGAGGAGAGGAAGGGAGGGGAGGGGAGGGGAGAGGAGAGGAGGAGAGAGGAAAAAAGAAAGCGAGAGAGAGAAGGAAAGAAAAGAAAAAAAGAAACTAAACGAAATGCAGAGTGAGCCATTTGCTCCTTCCTGCATTAGTAGTTGCGGCCGCCTGCCCTGAGCCGGGCTGTTGCTCAGCGGTGGCGCTGCACACCTGAGCCAGGCTCCCTGCAAGAGCCCTGGAGCTCCTGGAACTCTGGGCTGGTCCCTGGGAGCTGGAGCCGTGGTCCTGAAGCAGACGAAGGAGGGTCTCTTGAGTTCTCTGGGGACTGGGGTCCTGCAGTTTGGCTGGGGCTCTATCCTTCACTCTGTGCAAGACATTCCAGAAGCTTCTGAACCCCAGGGTCCCATGGGAGGGGGCACAGACACAGGCACCTGGTAGACCGAGCAGCTCCTTCGCACCCCAGGTGTGCAGAATCCCCAGAAGACCCTTCAGAACATGGGAGGAGTCCACCCTCCGCTCCCTGCAGTGTTGGCCTAATCCTAAAGCCCAGTTCATTGTATGTTGGAGAGAAACTATCTCTGGGTACTGTCCCCACAGGGGCAGCCTCAGGGCCTGTCCTGCCTGGGACCCTGCCTCCCCTGGCTGACACAGAGCCGCTGGCAGAATCTTGCCCTGCCCAGCTCTCACTCCTGGAATGTCACCTTGGATTTTTTTTTTTTCCTCTTTGCAGACAGAGCTTCAGTCTGTTACCCAGACTGGAGTGCAGTGGTGCGTTCATGTCTAACTGCAGCCTCGACATCCTGGGCTCAAGTGATCTTCCCACCTCAGCGTCCTGAGTTGTGGGGACTACAGGCCCAGGCCACCACATCTGGCTAATCTTTTTTTTTTTATTTTTTGCGGAGGTGGGGTCTCACTATGTTGCCCAGGCTGGTCTCTAACTCCTGGCCTCAAGTGATCCTCCCACCTCGGCCTCCCAAAGTGTTGGTATTATAGACATGAGCTGCCACACCCCTGCCACCTTTAATTTTAATGAATTGATTCTCCAGCTGAAGTCATCAACCCAGAATAGTCCTATTTATATGGCTGCTTCCATGAAAAACAATGTAGCATTGCTTAGAGGAGAAGCCATTCATTGCAGGTTAAAGATTAAAGGAGGGTCAGTGAAGTAGAGTTATTTTGACGTGGGGAAACCATTTAAAGAAGGTAGAAGTTTGGTCATTGAAAAGAAAACCATCACTGAATATGCTTCAGGAAATGTCTTCAGCCCCTTGAAAACGCATTTTAACTCACCTTGCTTTGATGACGAAGCTTTAAGACAGCTTGGAAAGAAATCCTCCCTCCCCACATAGTGAGCGGTGTCTGTCAAGTGGCAAGTCTGCCTGGTGGTGGACAGGAGCCCTCGCGGGCCTGGTCTGGGGAAGGGAGAGGTGGGGTAGACACGCCTGGCTCCTGCTGAGGATCCCCACAGCCCTCGGCGCTCAGAGGGGCTCAGTTTCAGAAGGAGGCGCCCTGCAATGGACCTGCAGTCGACCTGGTCAGCAACGTGTTGAAGATGAGCAACTCTGATGATGCAGCTTCTAAGACCTCTACCGGGCTGGGCACACCCAAGTCCCCCGTGTGTTACCCCACAGCGTCTTGCAGGCAAAGGACACACTTGGGGATGGCTGCTCGGGTGCCCTGGGGCCAGCCCAAGGGCTGTGTATTTCATCTTAACGCCTCCCTCCCCTGGCCAGACTCCCATAGGAGACTGCTTTGTGCAGACCTGGCTGTCCAGGTCTCTGTTGACTTTCCTCCCGAAGTAAGCCAGGGCTGTAAGAAATTTCTAGTGTGCCTAAATAAATAAATGAGCCAACACACAATTGGGGATTGTTGACATGTTTGTGTGAAACACGTTTTCTGTCTGAAGTGGGAAAGGCCAGCGGGCTGACTTGCTGGTGCCTGGGCAGAGCCGTGTGCCATCAGCAGGGCAGGGTGCCTGGGCAGAGCCGTGTGCCATCAGCAGGGCAGAGCAGGGCAGCCCTCCTCACTCGCCCACACTCCCAGTCCCGCTTAACTACACTGGTCAACATGTGGAGCTTCCAGTTAAACTCGGCACAGGAGAAGGTCACAGTTGGAAGAGACTGGTCCTGATTCCCCTGACATTTCATTTTGCTGCTAATTGTTAGACAGGTTGACTATCCCTTATCTGAAATGCTTGGGGCCAGAAGTATTTCAGAGTTTGATGTTTTTCAGATTTTGGAATATTTGCATTATACTTACCAGTTCAGTATCCCTAATCCAAAAATCTGAAATCCAAAATGCTCCAGAGTGCATTTTCTTTGAGCATCACATAGGCACTCAAAAATTATTTTTTCGTTTTTGGAGACAGAGCCTCACTGTGTTACCCAGACTGGAGTGCAGTGGTGCATTCATGGTGCACTGTAGCCTCGACCTCCCGAGCTCCAGTGATCTTCCCGCCTCAGCCTACAAAATGCTTTTGTAGCATTTCAGAGTTCAGATTCTCAGATTAGAGATACTCAACCTGAGTAACTCTCTTAACTACAGTTCCAGTTTAAAAAAAAAAAAAAAAAAGGAACTAGATCACCTTGGCATCATTACTTTTAGATCCAAGTATATTGGAGCAATTGAGGGAACAGAGGATACCTCCGAACAGGTCAGGACACATGCACCTCATTTCATCTTAACTTCTCTTGTATTTTCTCTTGTATTTTCCTGTTTAAATTTTTTGGCATGTCTTAAAAAGATTGAAGCCCGAACGTGGGCTGAGGCTGCCCTGGCTCTGGTAGGCCCTGGGGTTTTAGAAGCGGAGCCCACAGAGCCTGAACTGCTCTGTCCAGCCAGGGGCTTAGCGATGATGTGACCAGGGGAGGGTGACCTCACTGTGGGGTGTGTTCCAAGTGGACAGCGACACCATATGGAAACGAGGTGCACTTCGGCAGGGGCGCCCGCCTGGCCGTGGCTGCCGTGTGGAGCTGGTCTTCAAGGTGGCCACGGGGGAGCTGAAGGTCAGTCGGGGCCTGGGCAGCGTGGCCCTCCAGGAGGCCTGCCCACAGATTCCCGGTATGGGGAAGGGCTGCCCTCGTATCTCCCTCTCATCAGGCCAGGAGGCAGCTACAATGGGGAGGCGTGGACCCCACTCTGTCAGCATAGCCTCGCTGTTGATCAGAGACATAGCCCACACTCGTGACAGGGTTGTGTGCATAGTGCAGAGGTTCTCCAATGATTTGGGTCGTAAGAACCCTTTATACTCTTAAAAATTTATACTCTTAAAAAACTATATATATGGCTTGGGTGCGGTGGCTCACGCCTGTAATCCCAGCACTTGGGGAGGCCGAGGCGGCAGATCACGAGGTCAGGAGATCGAGACCATCCTGGCTAACACAGTGAAACCCCATCTCTACTAAAAATACAAAAATTCGCCGTGCATGGTGGCAGGCACCTGTAGTCCCAATTACTCCGGAAGCTGGCAGGGAGAATGGGGTGAACCCGGAGGCGGAGCTTCAGTGAGTGGAGATCACGCCACTGCACTCCAGCATGGGCGACAGAGCGAGACTCCGTCTCAAAAAAAATAAAATAAACAGAAGCTCCAAAGAACTTCTGTTTACATGAATTTATATCCGCAATATCGACTGCATTAGAGATTACAACTGAGAAATTTTCAAAATGTTTATTAATTAAAAATAGTGACCGGGCACTGCAGCTCATGCCTGTTAATCCCCAACACTTTGAGGCCAAGGCGGGGGATCGCCTGAGGTCCAGGAGTTCAAGAGCAGCCTGGCCACATGGCGAAACTCCATCTCTACTGAAAAATCTACAAAAATTAGCTGGGCATGGTGGCGGGTGCCTGTAATCTCAGCTACTTTGGAGGCTGAGGCCAGCGAATCGCTTGGAACCTGGAAGGTGGAGGTTGCAGTGAGCCAAGTCGGCCATTGCACTCCCAGCCTGGGTGACAGAGCGAAACTCTCTCCAAAATTAATAAAAAAAAATTAAAAAGTAATAAAAAAATAAAAATATCACTAATGTCTGGCCCTGTGGACAGCATCCGGGTTCTCACACCTGCCTGGCATCATTCTTGGGCCATGTCGAAGTACATGAAGGAATTCTGGCCCCACACAGATACGTAATTGGAAACGGGAGAAGGATTTTAATAGACTTTTCAGAGGTATTCTAATTGTGGGTATTCTTTGACAGTATACCAAAAATTCAACAAGTGGTAGTGTCTTGAAAATTAGCTGCAGCGTGGATCTGAACTCAAATCATGGTCACCTCCTCCTCCGTCTTGTTTAACCGAACCATTAGCCCTTGGAGGTCAGATCAATCCCTCGTTCATGGGTGATTGGTAGCACCGTGCATTGGTCATTTGGAAATTTAACTTCATGGAGTTACACGGATCTTCCGTATTCTGACTCCTACAGTATCAAAGAAGTCATTAATTTTTGAAACCATTAATATCACTCCCATCTGTCTTGTAAGTAGTGGGAGAGCCAGCAGGCTTACAGAGGCAGAGCCATGCGTTCCAAACTTGTAATTTTCACTTGAAAGCTCAAATTTTCTCACACTTCCTTCCCATCTCTCTACTTGGGATGTTAAAAGGACGTGTTTGAGGGCGGAGATCTAATAAAATGTCTGAATACTGCTTCATCGAGCACATTGTTAAGGGAAGCTGCTCACACACACACACACGCCCTCGTGCTGTTCCCTGCCCGCCATCTACCCTCCGGTGCTTCAGCAGCACCTGCACAGGTGTCAGGGCAGTGAAAAGAGTACATAGAGCCTCGGGACTATGCCGACTACAGACCCTCAGCAGGGGTTGGGACTGCAGGGGTCTGCAGCCTGCACATGGAAGCACTGAGTGCAGAAACGCAGGGAGACCAGGGCCTCTTGAGAGCATTTTTGCCTGCACCTCACTGGCTGCCCTCGCGCCGTCCTGGGCCTGGTCCCTGCGGCGTCCGGCTCACCCCGCCCATGGCCTGGTCACTCATGGTTGGCCAGCACTTTTGAGGCTCCGTTACAGACCTTGACCACACAATGTCCTGTTGCTGCTGAGACCAAGAGAGGACTGTAATCCATTTTTATGGCGGCAGCTACAGAGTGGTTTGCAGATGGATTTTTGACGCAGAAGTGACGGGGCAGAGGACAGCTTTTCTGCCCAGCCTGAGAGGAGCTGCTTTGTGGGCTGCCGACTTGCCCGCCGTCCTGGGAGCTGAACCACAGTAAGGACAGAGGCAGTCACGTGAAGGCCAAGCTGGGGCACAAAGCCTCTGCCCCGCGGCCAAGTCCCTGCGTGGGGCCCCTTCTGCTTCGTCTTCCTCCAGTGGCCACCTAGCGGGTCCTGGTCCCGAGCCAATGAGGAGCGAGCACCCCCCTTCCACCTCACCCCAACCCCTGCGCCGAGGGCACCACGCCTCACCGACAGAGCTGAGAGTGGGGCAGGGCACCCACCCGTTATCCCAGTGACTGCATTTCGGGGGAACAATGAGTAGCCCTCAGACCTCTGTAGGAAAAGGGCCCAGGCGTCTCGGAAAGGCTCATCACTGGCCCTGCATCCTCTCCCCATCATTGTGGCCAGGGTGCAGCGAGAAACTGTCCTCCCATGTAGCCCAACTCTGCTAAAAGTTGAGTGTGCCACCATTTTCCTGTGGCTACAAAGCGTGTCTTTTGTCGCTCTCTCCCGGCTGTCTGGTGTCACCTGCAGAATGGCTTTGCTGTGGTCCGCCCCCCTGGACACCACGCGGAGGAGAGCACACCCATGTGAGTACACACCACAGCTGTGCGCTGCAAGGGAATCCGGGTCTCCCTTCCCTCCCTTAGGGCTGGGTGGGTGCCTGAGTGACCTCGGGGAGCTGGGCTGCCGTTTGCTGACCACCCAAGATATGCCGCATGCCGGCTTCAGCTCCTGGGTGTCGAGTGCAGATGCCAAGGTCTGTGAGCGTCACTGCTTGGTCGTGACGGAGACAGATCAGAGGAAAGGATGGGAAAGGGTGTGTGGAGGTTAGTCCAGAGAAGCCTCTGGTGGTTGAGTAGTTGTCAACACTTGGGAGAGGAAACACCACTCCCCCTCAAGTGAGTCACTGCAGCCCTTGTTGTCTAGAGGACTCAGGTCATTTTGCACATGGCCTTTAACTGCCTGCTGACCGCCTGGTACTGACGCAGCAAGTCGCAGAGCCATGTCCATGCAGGCAGCTATCCAGGTGCTGTTTCGGGTCTTTCAGAGACTGCTGACAGTCCCACACAGCTGAGGATCTGGGCAGAGTGGCGACCCATCCCTGTGTGTGCAGAGCCAGTGGCAGGGCAGACCGGCAGCTGTGTGTGGAGTGCCTTGCGGCGTGGGTGGTAAATGAGTGAGCTATCCCGTCAAAGAGCATGCTGTCTCGTGGGACGGTAGCCACTCTAGTGAGGAGGGTTGGTGCTAGGAAGAGCGGCTCCCATGCTCTGGAGATGGAAAAGGGGTGCCTGATCTTGCCAGCTTTGGTGAGGAGACGGTGGCGTGGGGCTCTGCCTTGGAGAATTTGAGCAGCAGTTTGTCAGATGGGCAACCAAGAACAAGTGCAGATACAAGTTCATTATCAGGGCGTGGCCAGGAAGCAGTCAGAGCGAGACGGAACCGCAGGGGCCCAGGAAAGGGCCTCCCTGCCACCCCGGGAAGTCGGGTGTCAGCGGAGGGGCCAGCAGTGCCCTGTTTCACATCAGGAGGTGAGATAGTCAGATCCGCATGATAGAGCAGAATCTCCTTCATGTACAGAGAGGAGATTGTAACCTCCAGGGAGGGACGCTTGTTGGAACCTTTGTGGCTTTACCTGAAAACCACGTGGTTGCTCCACCTCCCAGAATATGTCACTTGGGCACCAGGCTTCGTGTTCGTTTCATTTCTCTGAAGTTTCTTTTCTAATTTGAACCTGAGTCGTTGGATATTCCGAATAATAAACCTCAGAGGAGACAAACGACTTATCTTAGGTTGCAGCTCTTCGCTGTGCTCCCTGTGAGCCGCTGCAGGAGCCCAGCGTCTAGGATGTTCTGGGGTGTGTGCGCTTCCCCATGCCAGCCCAGATTCCGAAAACAAAACGACGAGTGTTTCTCCGTTTCTGTGGCCATTCAGACAAAGGGAAATGGAGATTGAGAAGGTTTTCATTGTTATTTGAGTCACTTCCATAGCTTGTTTTCTCGGTCTCTTGAGTAAGAGTCTCTAAAATTAAGGGTAATTTGCGTATTGGAATATAGAAAGGTCAGCAGTAAGCAACTGAGATGAGCAGCTGCCGTGTCCGTGTGCCGTGTCCGTGTGCCGGGGCGGCAGCTCCTGAGAGGAAGGGTTCTGGGCGAAGATGAGGGATATGCTGGTCACATGTGAAATAGGCTTCCCTACCAGAGGAGCATGGGGGACCTCCAAGCAGGAGAGTGTGTGTGTGTCTCTGTATGGAACTGTGGATATGTGTGATATGTACATGCTTATGTGTATATATATGTGTGTGCTTGCATGTATCTGTGGTTTCTGTATGTGTGTGTTTCTGTGTGGGATGTTCATGTGTATCTGCATGTGTGTGTGGGGTGTGTGTCTGTGTGGGGTGTGTGTTTTTGTGGGGTATGTGTTTTTGTGAGGTGTGTGTCTGTGTGGGGTATGTGTTTTTGTGAGGTGTGTGTCTGTGGTGTATGGGCGTATCTGTGGGGCATGTATGTGTGTAGGGCGTGTTGCATGATATGTGTGTGTCTCTGTGGGGTGTGTGTCTGTGTGGGGTGTGTGTCTGTGCGGTGTGTGTCTGTGTGGGGTGTGTGTTTTTGTGGAGTGTGTGTCTGTGTGGGGTGTGTGTCTGTGTGGGGTATCTGTGTGGGGTGTGTGGTTTTGTGGAGTGTGTGTGTGGGGTGTGTGTCTGTGTGGGGTGTGTATCTGTGTGGGGTGTGTGTCTGTGTGGGGTGTGTAACTGTGTGGGGTGTGTGTCTGTGTGGGGTGTGTGTCTGTGTGGGGTGTGTGTCTGTGTGGGGTGTGTGTCTGTGTGGAGTGTGTGTCTGTGTGGGGTGTGTGTCTGTGGTGTATGGGTGTATCTGTGGGGCGTGTATGTGTGTAGGGCGTGTTGCATGATATGTGTGTGTCTCTGTCTGTGGGGTGTGTGTCCGTGTGGGGTGTGTGCATGTCCATGTCGGTTAACCTACCCTATGGCATCAGCTAAGATTCCCCAGTGGCTTGTTTGGGAGCCGTGTGTGTGGGTGGTGGGGGGGGGATGTGTATGTGTCTCTCTGTTGGCCGATTCTCCGGCATCACTGAAGGTTCCCTGTGGCATATTCAGGAGCTGTGCACTCACAGAGACCTCTTAGGTCTGCGCGGACCCCGAGTGGCTCTCTGGCGGGTTGTGGAGAAGCTGGCCACCGCCCACCTGTGCTTTGTCTCCAGCGTCGGTTCTCTCCCACAGGGGCTTTTGCTACTTCAACTCCGTGGCCGTGGCAGCCAAGCTTCTGCAGCAGAGGTTGAGCGTGAGCAAGATCCTCATCGTGGACTGGGTAAGCAGAGCCGCCGCGTCAAGCACGGCTCAGGTTGCTGCTGTGTCCTCCCCGACCAGACAGCAGCATGTGGAGAGAGGAGGGGGGCTCTTGGATTTGGGAAGCTTAGGTTTCTGGAAACGGTCTCAAAGATGCGGAGAATTAAAGCCCCAAACCTGCTACAAGTCATTCTATAGCTTCCATCAGCCGACCCCGGCGAATGGGGTCCTGGCGTGTCCAGAAATGTGCCTGTGGGTGAGGGCAGCAGCCAGGGCCACCCTTGGCAAGATCTTCTTGGAAGGCAGGCGTTGGGGAGGAGGCTGTGTCCACATCGACTTTGTGTGTGGCCTGGGAGCCTGGGAGGGCCCTGACCTGGCCGAAGGCGGCACTCTCCTCTCAGTCACTGCAGTGAAACCCGTGTCTTCCTGCTGCTGTGTGGGCACCTGGTCCTGCTGGAATGGGGGCTGCCACTGCCCCAAAAGCGTCGTCTCTTTTTAAATAATGCTATATGATGTCTGAATCTACATTCCACGAATTGGTATACTCATTCTTATACCGGAAATTAATGTTCAAGGTGTTCATCTTACTACTCTTTTTAAAGCCAGGTATATACATATTTAGTGTTCTCTTTGGTATTTATGATTTGTTTCATAATTTTAAGGAGAAAAGCAGGCCTTGTCAGGTAGAGTTATGATTTGAATTGGAAAAGTCCTTCTGAGTTTGGGTAAAGAAACAATGTGGCGCAGCCAGGACGGCCAGACAGCCCCAGCCGGCCGTGCGCTTTCGGAGAGGCAGGTCAGGGGATGCGGCAGAGCAGCGGGTCCTCCACACCCAAGGACCTGCGAGCCGGGAGCCCTCCCTCAGCTCCTCCTGAGGGAGCCGGTAGGAGTGCCCAAGAAGAGAGCAATGTGAGGCTGCTAACGGCTAAAGACCGGGGACCCGTCCCCAACACAGAGTGAAGCGCTAGGGCACGCAGACAGGCTGTGTAGACCCTGTGTGGTGTGCTCCCTGCACGCTGAGCTGTGATGTTGCAGAGTGAAGCGCTAGGGCATGCAGACAGGCTGCGTAGACCCCGTGTGGTGTGCTCCCTGCACGCTGAGCTGTGATGTTGCCCATGTACACACCACGCGGACAGGGGCATCTCAGTGGGAAGCTGCGTGTCGGGAAAGCCTCCGTGTGCATTTTCATGGTGATTACTTACTCTGTGGGACCGAAGGCACCTGTTCCATCGCTCCTCACCTGTGGCTGCCCTTCCACCTTTACTGTGATGAGCACAGATAACGGAGCAGCAAGCTCTCGCGCTGGGGACATCAGGGCTGCCTGCTCTCTTCTCAGGCACACAGCTGTTCTCAGCAGAGCCACCCCCTCGCCCGCCCATCCTGGTGACCACCTGCCGTGTGGCCCAGGGCAGAACAGCCATGGTCAGTAAAGCCCCAGGCTGCCTCTTGTGTTGCCCCCTGGTGCATTTGACCTGTGGATTTTGTGATTAAGAAACGGTGCTTGCCATTTGGGCACAGGGGCCTGGACCCCGTACTGTGTGTGCCTGTCACTCACAGACACCTGGGACTTGTCTCCTGCCAAACCCCGTGCCTGGCATGGGATTGGCACCTCCCGTGTGCCTGCAAGCGCGCAGGCCACAGCCGGTGACCTCCTTCCCGACAGAGGCTGAGGAAATTGCTCACTTGTCAGAGACACAGCAGGTGCAGGAAATTGATCAGATGGCTTCGTTTGGGAAATGGTGGCCTCCAGGCCCGGCTGAACTCCAGCCCCTCCGCTGCTGGAGTCAGGATTGTGCCAAGGCTCTCAGGGCGAGGGAAACAGTGCTGCAGATGCGAACACTGGGCCTTAGAACCCCTGCAACCCTGCACCACATAGCCCTGACCCACACAGCCCCAGACTCGCGTCCGCTGGGTGCGTCCCGGCTGGAGGGTAATGTTCCTGAGCAGGAGCCGTTGTTCACTAAGCACAGCTGGGGTGGGAGACGGCCCTGAGGGGAGGCCGCCCTCCAGGACCTGTCTCAGCCCTGAGTTGGCTGTTCCTGCTCTTGCAGGACGTGCACCATGGAAACGGGACCCAGCAGGCTTTCTACAGCGACCCCAGCGTCCTGTATGTGTCCCTCCACCGCTACGACGATGGGAACTTCTTCCCGGGCAGCGGGGCTCCTGATGAGGTAGGTGGGGTGTGTAAGGGGGGCTGCAGGGAGCCGCTGTGGGGGCACAGGGCAGACGGTCCACAGCTGCCCGGCAGCAGCGAGTGAGGCCTTCACGCTCGCGTAAGCCCAGACAGTAACTTCAGTCAGACGTCAGCGTGCGTTGCGCCGCTGTGCACAGGTGGCCTGTGTTTGGTCTAAAGTACAAATGAGAGGCTGGATATTGTTTCTGGTTCCCATCCAGGCAGACCGAGGTGTTTGTGAAGGAGGAGGTGAGCGGTGCCCATTTTCCTCCAGGCAGGGCCCAGCCCACTGTCTTCCACAGGACACCCTCCGGCAAGGGGCTCTGTCCACTGTCCTTTGCCCGGCGCAGGGCTGCGTGGCGGCCCCAGGAACGGCAGGCCCAACGGCTCCTTGACAACGCCCCAGGTGCCCCTTCAGAGCCTGCCCACTCTGAACAGAGGCCCCAACAGCAGGGCTTTCATCCAGGCAAGACGCTCCGTCTGCCTCTGGATCTTATTTTTTTAGAGGAAATAGAAAATGACAGGCTCATCAGAGACACTTTCTGCCCAGAGAGACCCAGGTCTGATTCCCCGATGTCACATACGGCACACGACACAGGGCGGCGGGTCCACAGAAATGTCAGTACGGGGCCTTGGTGTGCCGAGGGCAGGGTCAGCGAGAGCCCTCAGCAGCCAGGAAAAGGGCCCCCTTGTTGATGTCAGTGCACCGGTGTGAGTGGGGGACTCCTTCACGCACGTTTTAATGAATATGCAGCAGGAGATCGGGACACTGGGCTCTCCCCAGAGGCCCACCAAGGCTGAGCCCATCCCGGCGCCACCTGTGTCAGGCGTTCCTGTCAGACAGGTCCTGCTCAGGGTCTGTGACGTGTGTTTCTCTCCTTGTGGCAACAGGTGGGCACAGGGCCCGGCGTGGGTTTCAACGTCAACATGGCTTTCACTGGCGGCCTGGACCCTCCCATGGGAGATGCTGAGTACTTGGCGGCCTTCAGGTGAGTCTCCTGGCTTCACGTGACACCTGAAATAGCAGCTTTTCCTCTGTGCACACACTCCGGGAAGCACTTGTTGGAGATGAGCGTGTCTGAAACTGGTCTGTGGCTGAACGGGGCTGCAGGGGCCGTTGGGGCTGTCTCAGTTCATTCTTCAGTGCCAAGCGTGGAATCTTGGAGACTGTCTTCTTACCATCGGCTCTTAGTGCTCCCTTCTGTGCATGAAATAAAACCAGGAGCCCACTCTAGGTCCCGATGGTGAGAGAGTGATGGAGACGGTGGCAGGGACTTCTGTGCAGAGTGGAGTGTGTTCATGAGAAACGAAGGCGAAGATCTTCAGGGTCTCACGATCTCCTCATTCTTCTTCCGCAAACCTCTTGTGATGCGATGTCCAGTGGAAATAAGTATTTCTTGTTTATTCCTAAATATCAAGAGGCAGTTGTCGCCCTTCCTCCCACTTCCTTCGTGGGACTCTGAGCCTTCAGAATTTAGCCTCAGGGAGCTGTTTAAAGGCGCAGTGTTTGCTTTTGTCATCAAGTGGTTGCTTCTCCGTTGATCTAGGCCAGACTGGAGTCATTCCTGTGACCCAGAACGGGCTGCTGAGCAGCACAGGTTTTCTTGTCCTCGTTTTAAAATGGCGGCTTCGCCTGCCGCGGTGCAGTGACGGGCTCCGGGGGAGCAGCCCCCGGCCTGCATCGCTTCCCAGAGCCACGTGGGGAGAAGGGTTGTATTACTGTGGCTGAACCTGACAGATCGTGTCTCTGTTAGAAAACACTGTCCATGTGGCATCAAAGCCCCACACAGTCTTCAGCGTTTTTCTCTTTCTCTAACTCCCTGGCTTTGTCCTGATTTACGTACATATAAACCACACGTGTGCAGATGTGTCTTTGTGACGTGTGTGCGTGTGTGTCTGTATGGATGTGAGTGCATGTCTGCATATGTGCGTGTCCACCTGCGTGTGTGTGTGGGTGGGTGGGTGTTCATCTGTGTGCATGTTTCTCCATGCTTGTGCGGGCGTCTGTAGCCATGCACATGTCTTCAGGTGTGTGTCCATGCCTATGTACATTACACACGTCTGTGTGGGTGTGGATGCATGTCTGTGTGCATGCAGGTATGCATGTGTGTGCGCACATCTCTGAGTACACACCCGTGTGCTTGTGTGTCTTTGCATGCATGTATCTGTGTGTGTATATCTCTGTGTGCACATCTAGGTATGAGTATACACCCGTGTGCCTGTGTGTCTTCGCATGCACATGTCTTTTTGTGTGTATATCTGTGTGTGCACGTCTGTGTATGAGTATACACATGTGTGTTTGTGTGTCTTTGCATGCCCATGTCTTTGCATGCACCTGTGTGTGCACGTCTCTGGCAGGTGAGGCCCTACACAAGGATACATCTGTAAACGTTTTGTGTGGACTCTGCCACATGCCTTCTGGGGATGGTGAATAAGTCACGAGGCCTCTCTCAGTGTCTGCTATTCTTCTCTAACTGGGGTCCATTGCTCCCCTTGGAAAGGTTGTTGAGATCTGGTGACATACAGGCCTGGCCCAGGACATGTGGGCCCCCTCCCCAGGCACTCAGTGGCTCCTAGAAGGAACAGACCCCGTCTGACGGCGCCCAGGCTGCTCCGCTGCTCCAGCAGTGAGCCCGGGCTATGCAGGAGGGAGTTCATGAGCGCCTCAGCAGACCTGCTCTGATCTGTACCTGAACCACCTTTTCCCGATCTCATCGGTTGGATTTTCATGTCTCTTCTTACTCTTGATCAAGATTTAATGTAATGTTGACAGTTGTCCTGCCTAATTTAAAAGAGAAGGACTTCCCCCAATGTGTGCCACATCTGAAAATGAGCTCATATGAAATCGGACCCCTGGCGTGGGCGTGTCGCCGTCTGCTCATGGAATGCGCTCCCGCTGCCCCTCGCTTGGTTGTCACCCCAGAGAACTGGGCTCCCTCGGAGGCTTCTCTGAAAGTAAAGTCTCTGGCCACCATGAGAGGTGTAGATGCTGCCTGGTCGACTTCCTGCCTGAGTGAACACTGGCGCCGCCTGGGGAACCCAGGGCCCACTGTGGCCAGATTCCCGTGCAGAGAGAGAAGGCAGGGTTTCCTGGTTTGCAGAGAGAAAGGAGGTGGTGCCCTCTTTCCGGTCAGTGGTCCCAGGCCAGGTTTTGATGGACCACCCTCACCCCATGGGCATTTCTCAGTGGTGCCTTCGGCTCTTGGATCCTGGGGTGAAACCCTTACCCCATGGCATCCCTGCTGGTGGGCAAGCCCAGGCCCAAAGCAGCAATGGGCATCTGCCCTCAGGGTCACTCCCCTCCCCAGGCCCCGGCCGGCCTGGCCAGCCTTTAGGATGAACGTGCCTTTCTGAGTTGCTCTTGACATGTGCTTTAATCTCCTGCCAAGTGTGTACATGATAATACCTTATCAAGTGAACTTTTTAAAGCTTAAATAGCGTCTTTGAAAAGGAAAATTGTTTCAGGGTTTTTTTTTTTTATTGATTTTAATGTAAAATAGCACTTTGAAGTTTACAATTTATGGTTCCCTGGGCATCCGATGATGGGGAAGAAGGGTCAGAGATTGGTTCTCCCCTTTCTTCTGCGCCTCTCCCCCGCCGGGGCCCCTGGGGACAATGCATGCCTTCCAGGCAGCACCTTGTTATTCAGACCCATTGCCTGCCACATTGCGTTTTCAGGGGATCAAGCCTAAGACAAAGAAAAGATAAGAAAATTGCCCCTAATGAAATCCAGAAGCAGCCGGCACTTTCTCCTCAGGCCCAGAGACTCACAGGAGAAAACGGAATCTTAATTCAAACCAGTCCCAGTGCCAGACGCGGCTTTGAAGTTGCTGAGTAAAGTCGGAGCCGCCGGGGGAGGGGCGTGTAGGGAGAGGATGACGATGGTGACGGAGCTCCGTATCCCCTCCCTCACCTGTGCGTGGGGACACGGGGAGGGGGCGTGTAGGGAGAGGATGACGATGGTGACGGAGCTCCATATCCCCTCCCTCACGTGTGTGCGGGGACACGGGGGGGGCGTGTAGGGAGAGGATGACGATGGTGACGGAGCTCCGTATCCCCTCCCTCACCTGTGCGTGGGGACACGGGGAGGGGCGTGTAGAGAGAGGATGACGATGGTGACGGAGCTCCGTATCCCCTCCTTCACCTGTGCGTGGGGACACGGGGAGGGGCGTGTAGAGAGAGGATGACGATGGTGACGGAGCTCCGTATCCCCTCCCTCACCTGTGCGCGGGGACACGGGGTGGGGGGGCGTGTAGGGAGAGGATGACGATGGTGACGGAGCTCCGTATCCCCTCCCTCACCTGTGTGCGGGGACACGGGGTGGGGGGGCGTGTAGGGAGAGGATGACAATGGTGACGGAGCTCCCGTATCCCCTCCCTCACCTGTGCGCGGGGACACGGGGGGGGGCGTGTAGGGAGAGGATGACGATGGTGACGGAGCTCCGTATCCCCTCCCTCACCTGTGTGCGGGGACACGGGGGACTCTTCTGTCAGGGATGAGCGCCACATCCAGATGCTCGTGCTTCGTAGCTTAGATTCCACTGTGATATTACGACATTTATCAGAGATGTCTCTGAAACTGGATCTTCTCAAGCAGTTCCTGTAATATTCTAACAAACTGGCAGTAGTCTTGAAATTGAGCAACTGGGCAAAGCCGTTTCACTTTCTCCAACTTTTCAAGTGAGACGGGAAGGCCGAGGCTCTCAGTGTTTGTTCCTTCCATAAGCTGTGTTGCTGTGTTGCTGCCTTTTGTAGACAGGTGTGTTTTAGGAGTCACAGCACCTAACGACTGCTGTTTTCACCATTGCCGAGTGGCACCCACTGCACTCACCACGCTGGTCCCTGGTTTCCTTGCCTAAGGAAGTCAAGGCTATGAAGAGGTTTCATACAGACCGTGCCACGTTCTTTTCTAAAAGCAATTTTGTCTCTTAAATGCATCCAAGTATTTTCCTATGTAGAAATTTATCTGAGAAGCACAAAGAAGCAAAAGCATACAAGCTACAGCCTCGGAGCTGAGAGAGCTCGTCCTGACCCAGCCTTCGCTGTGCCTGCAGGGCCGGCCCTGTGAGATGGAACAGTGAGTCAGCACAGTGCCTGCCCTGGAGAGTAGCAGGGGACCGGGAGGACAAGCTCTGGGCAGGCCCGGTAAGACCTCAGGGGACCTGCCCACCTGGGGGGCCAAGGAAGTTTCTAGAGGAGGCAAGCCCCCGGCTGAGTCCTGGAGGAATGAGCCTGGCACGGGACATTATGGGAGAAGGGCCTTCCTGAGGGAACAGAGCCCGATGGCGCAAACCCGCCCATCCACAGAGCCAGGCTTGGTCCTGATGGCGGGGGCTCTGTCAGGGCCTCTGACTGGAATGAAGCGTCACGGCCAGCTCTGCATGTTGGACCGGCCCATCTTGTGGCAGCTTAAGTGACAGACTTGGACCTGGCAAACAGCAGGCCAGGGTAGGAGCTGGGGACCAGTGGACAAGCCCAGAAAACAGCCACAGAGATCATGACAGGGCCACGGGCTGGAGACGTAGGGCCATCTCAAAGAGACTGAAGTGAGATGGGATCGAGGGGAGTAACAGCTAATTTTGGCGGAGAGGGCACGTGGTGAGGTCTCAAGGTGCTGGCTTGGAGGAGGCTGACGGGTGCTGGGCAGAGACCCAGCGGGAGGAGGTTCGTTCTGGGCGGGGGTGGATGAGGGTTGAGTGGGGTCGCTTTTGCTTCAGTCGATTTTCAGGAAGAGGTGAGAAAGTGGCTGGGAGCATCTCCCCCTGGAGGCCCCTTTGTGGGGAGAGCCAGCGAGGGCCAGTTTGTATGGACGATGCGCCAGGGCATTTATTAGGGGCAGAAAGGCAGCCAGAGACTCCAGCATGGTGTGCCAGCCCTGAGCCCAGTTCCCACAGAGTCCCCAGAGGCGTGCCGGCTGTGGGTGGCCGCAGGGCTGCAGCCTGTTGGCCCCATAAGCTCGGTTTGCTCTGAGGCTTGTGTTGACGGAGGGT